TCGACCTATGGGAGAGGTACGAAGTCACTCGACCTATGGGAGAGGGACTCCCTTTGGTCGTACCTCTCCCTCTTCGAATTGAAACGAAATGAGTTTCACATAGTGAAACGAATCTCTGTACCTCTTTCGAGTCACTTCGTACCTTTCAGTCGAGTGTATATAAGAACCTCTCACTTTAGCTCGAGCTATTTCATCTCCTCTCAATAAATAGTTTCGCTGAAGAGGCTGATGCCGCCAATCGGCTTTTCCTGAATGTTTACATTTTTTGGTTCACGAGTGATCAATAGTAATAGTAGAGTAGTTGGCGAACGGTGTTTTAGTTTGAATGACTTCTGGGCACAAGTGCCATTCTCGTCTTGGGAGGACTGAGAGGCTTTCCCTGAGCAAAGAAGGGATTCAGTCTCGAGGCCGGATGGTAGCAATAAGACACTTCTGACCCAACAGGGAGCAATTGAAGTAAGTAGTCGGCTATTTCTGAGGTTAAGCGAACACAGTCAGTGACAAGGTGAGTCTCAACTAAGCAGTACAGGAAGCCCACTCACTCGGGCAAGTAAGCGAGCCAAGGTTTAAGAAAGTTCGGGAGTCAATACAGTAAAGTCAGGGAGGAAAAGTTGCGGTTATGAAAGAACCTAGGCTATATTTATATAGGAGACCCTAGAGAGAAGATACCTTCGCCCAAAATATAAGTGGATGGGCCATATATACGGCATATGCCGTCATAAGCGGGAATAGGAAGATTCTCCTGCTTTTGACCGTTTATCCTGCATTGCTTTCAAAGGGGATAACAACTATAAATTTATTCCTGCCTTACACGCTTAACAAGAAGGACTTCCAACTCACTTCCTCACTGGTTGGCAGAGACCCTCTTCGATCGTATTCCCATTTATGGGACAGTATCCCAAGCAGCAAGCAGTAAGGCTCTGTAGAGCTAGTCTCCCTTGAGACCTGCTGACGCAAAAGCTCTTTCTGCTGCTCCTTCGCCTGCGGATTAAGCTGTAGAAGGACCTTGGCAACTGAAAATTTCAAGGATCAGGGGAGGTATGAAATGGTTATCTCGGCTGGGAATCAAGCCAGCTGAGTCTTAGCATTCCGAGACAAAGCCTGGGTCCGCGTTTGAAGGCCTGTTTCTGGGAGGGACTTTAATTTCTGCTATATCAACCTTCCAAACCAAAAGGAGAGGGGAGAGGAACTGCCGCATACAAAGCCCATAAAGCCCATATGGTAAGGTTCTCTTCGAAGGTGAAAAACAACAGCTTGCCGACACACGTGCCCGCTGAGAAGCCTTGACTTCTATTCGGGGCTATGGAGCGCGAACTTTCACTCATGAGCAGAAAATGGGAAGTGTTTTAGCCAGGTATGAATGAATAGATTGATTGTCGGTTCGGTTCTAGAATGATCAATAGCCATACTTCGAAGTATGAGGCAGAAGTACTAAAACAAGCACTTCCTAACTCTATGCATTATTCATTCCATTGGTCTGGATTACTCGGGTTTTCGAAACTATAACAAATTTGATTGTAAGTATGCTTTTCGTAAGGCGTCTTTCAACGCTTTATTTCTCATCTCATCTAGAAAGGGAGGGTCTACGCCATACCAAGTATCTTTTCATACATATTATGACGCAGTCACTCTCCTTTTTGAACATAACGAATATGTCCATGGGGGGGCCCACACAGGATCGCATAATTAGCATACGCTGCCTAGTGACTGGGTTGTTTACACAACAAACCTATTCATAACCCTTGCGTTGTATCAACCCAATTGGAGGTGAACATCGTAGCGTCTAATATGGAACCTATCAATTATAACTAGCTATATGCTCAGCCACACGTGCGTGAAGGTGGAAATCTTCACCCAAGATCCTGGATGGTGCCTGGCTTTCGGTTGAGACTATTGATCTGGTATGGCAAAGCCCTTTTCGAAAGGGCAGGTAGGGTCCCAGTCCTGCTATATACGAAATACTTCATAGCTAATCCATGCTGAAGTTTTTGAGACTGAACTTTCCCCATGTTCCTAAAGGGGAATCGTTGGACAATTCCCATCAACTTTGCAGTATCCTTCAGCCTACAACTTGATCCTGGGAAGGCCGACTCTCCGAGCTGCCACTTCCACGTATCATCTTAGCATGAAATTTCCCACCCCTGATGGAAGGTGTGGGGGGATGTAGAAGCTGCTCGAGAATGCTACTTAATAACCTTTAAGGGAAAGTCAAAAATGGTAGCCAAAATATCTGCTATGGAACCTAAGGAATACGGGGTTCCTAAAAGATTGGGCACTACTGATGAGATTGAGGAATTTCCTTTCCCTCTCCCGTTGGTCGTACCTCTTCGAATGAGTTGAACTATTCGTTGTTCGTTGTTGAACATAGTTCAACGTTTGAAACGAAATGAGTTGAACTATGTTCAACGAACATAGTGAAACGAATCTCTGTTCTCTGTTCTATAGCTACTTCGTACCTATTCGAGTGATTTCACTATGTTCAACTCATTCGGATAATAGGATAGATAATAGGATAATAGTCGAAGGGTATTAGGTCAGCAGGAACTTGTTCAGTCGGCTAAAGGAGATCATGTCTTGTTCGGACCGTTTCTTTGACTTCTAAGAGCAAGAGTTCTCATGAAATTAGGGAAGGTCGTAGTTAGATTGATTCCCGTTTGCTTTGCTTGCCGAACTGGGTTATCCTGCTTTACTGGCAACTTACAGTAGCTCGTAGGCAGAAGGGACAAGAAAGGAAACTCCAACTTCCTATCCCTAAAGCACTGTCCACTCGCAGGGAATTACCTTGGAGCTAAAATGGAGTTGGCCTTGCCCAAAAAGCATAGGCCCCTTACTCTAATTACTCTAAGGCTCCGTTAAGAGAAAGCCTACGTAAAAGCCCGAAGTGGAAGTACATCAAAATAGTATTCTTCAATTCGATTAAGCAGACATCCTTGCGTGGCGCTGGACGCATCTTTCTTTTCTATTTTGCTATTTAGGAGGCGTTCCGGGACTCATTCAGATTCTTTCTTATCAAACTTAAAGCAGACAGCGACAAAGTAGCAACTGGGTGGAGTAGCCTAAGCAACTCTAGTTATACTTATTTTATACTTATTCCGTTCGTTTGGAAAGATACGTATTCGTTTATCTCAGAAACCTACGTATCTTTCCTTCTATCGGATATAGTTCGTGTCCCCAGAAGTAGAGATAGAGGCAAAGGTTGCAGCAGGAGGGACGTAGTCTTTGAACTATCTCTGTTCTCTGTACGTTGTTCAACTCATATTCGTTTCAAATGAGTGTAACTATGTTACCTATGTGAAGTGTAACATAGTTACACTCATTCAGAGGTACGACCAAAGGGAGTCCTGAGTTGAACATAGTTCAACGAAATGAGTTTCACATAGTGAAACGAATAGTTACACTCATTCGACTGATTTTTGGTCCCTTTCGTCCAGTGGTTAGGACATCGTCTTTTCATGTCGAAGACACGGGTTCGATTCCCGTAAGGGATAGGTCGAGGGACTCCCTTTGGTCGTACCTCTTTCAAATGAGTTGAACATAGTTCAACGAACAACGAATAGTGAAACTCATTCCTCTCGCATGGGAGGGGGGTTGGCTGATGTCGGGTAGCTTAGAGGACCCATGGTTGACGTGTTTCAACTCCGATCGTGCTATTTGATTCATTAGTGCGAAATGGCCACTTCACTTGTTTTACGAATTGACCGCCCTATCCTACTATGATTAGATCGCCCACGGGCTAAAACCATCGCCATCGCCCTAGACCCCTACAGGATCCTACCCGACTTCCGCTTAATAAGTTTCGATCCCGGTTTAGCTGGATATGGGAACTTCCCCGGACCCTCCCATTTCATTTGCTTATGGTACGCAATCCGCCTATTACCACTTATCCAATTCCATGTAAGGAAACTGGCCTGGCCCTACAAACCAAGGAAATGTATTTCNAGTGTAACATAGTTACACTCATTCAGAGGTACGACCAAAGGGAGTCCTGAGTTGAACATAGTTCAACGAAATGAGTTTCACATAGTGAAACGAATAGTTACACTCATTCGACTGATTTTTGGTCCCTTTCGTCCAGTGGTTAGGACATCGTCTTTTCATGTCGAAGACACGGGTTCGATTCCCGTAAGGGATAGGTCGAGGGACTCCCTTTGGTCGTACCTCTTTCAAATGAGTTGAACATAGTTCAACGAACAACGAATAGTGAAACTCATTCCTCTCGCATGGGAGGGGGGTTGGCTGATGTCGGGTAGCTTAGAGGACCCATGGTTGACGTGTTTCAACTCCGATCGTGCTATTTGATTCATTAGTGCGAAATGGCCACTTCACTTGTTTTACGAATTGACCGCCCTATCCTACTATGATTAGATCGCCCACGGGCTAAAACCATCGCCATCGCCCTAGACCCCTACAGGATCCTACCCGACTTCCGCTTAATAAGTTTCGATCCCGGTTTAGCTGGATATGGGAACTTCCCCGGACCCTCCCATTTCATTTGCTTATGGTACGCAATCCGCCTATTACCACTTATCCAATTCCATGTAAGGAAACTGGCCTGGCCCTACAAACCAAGGAAATGTATTTCTACCTGAAATGGGTAGGTACGAAGAACAGAGATTCGTTTCACTATGTGAAACTCATTTCGTTTCAAACGTTGAACTATGTTCAACAACGAACAACGAATTTCGTTTGACAGAGAACAGAGAACAGAGATTCGTTGAACATAGTTCAACTCATTTCGTTTCAAACGTTGAACTCATTTCGTTTCACTATGTTACACTCATTTCGTTGAACGTAGTTAGAAAACTCATTCGACTGATTATTCAAGTTATGACGCAGCAACAAGGAGTGCACATAGACGAGCAGGAGATCCGATCGGGTGTTCATAATCTGGAGTAAAAGGATTCGAACCTTTGCATGCCGGTACCAAAAACCGATGCCTTACCACTTGGCTATACTCCATAGGCCGGTCCTACCGTCCAAAATAGGAACGGGGAGCCCTTGAACCTTGAAGCAGGGCTCCGTGCAAGGACGCGGGGATATAGCAAGGTTCTCCCTTTAGGACCGACTACAACAAGCTCTCTGCTCTATTTGCTTCCTATCAAAGTTGGCGAAGGCTTCTGTAACCGCTCGTTGAGTTCTATAGACTATTAGATGAATGAGTTTCCCTATTCGTTGACAGAGAACAGAGATTCGTTGAACTCATTTCGTTTCACTATGTTACACTCATTTCGTTGAACATAGTTCAACTCATTTCGTTTCAAATGAGTTCGTTCAACTCATTCAGTGAAACGAATCTGTTGTTCAACTAAGGGTACTTAGTAGCTTAGTGTAACTATGTTACACTCATTCGACTAAAAGGAGAGGTACGAAGTCGCTAGAGAATTCGTTTCACTATGTTACACTCATTCGAAGAGGTACGACCAACGGGAGTCGCTCGAAGAGGTACGACCAACGGGAGTCGCTCGAAGAGGGGAGAGGAGGACAAACCCAATGAATGATCGAACAGCTAAGTGGTGCTCTTTCTTAGTTACAACATTTGTTTGGTGAGAATGCCCCGACCGGCAGCTGCTAGGTTTCCCGATCTTCCCCCGGTCTTCGGCCCGAGCTGTATGAGGCAAAAACTCGTCCCACGTACGGTTCGGAGGCCGAGCCCCACCCCAGCAGTAAGGGTGCGGCTTAGGTCAACTAACACAAAAAAGATACAGTTCACTCAACGATTGCCTTTGGGTTCCGAACTCCATATAGGGAAGGAGCGTTGTTGTTTGCGAGGTCTCGATCATTTACA